TGACTGATAAATACGAGAGGAAGGGAAATAGATAATAAAGTAAGAGATAGGAAGAATTTGTGTACTGCCCAGCGTCACATGTTCTCAGTGCTGGTGATACATGCATGCACTGTAGTAATGGTTGCCCCTTGTGAAACGAGGATGGCCAGCCCAAGGGCCACCTAGGCGTGAATGTAAGGTGTAGACGCTGTCACAACACAACAACCACACCCTAAGTTAACGAGCTGCATGACCCAGTGTTTAAGGTGTAGAAGCTGTCGCCAACACAACAACCACACCCTAAGTTAACGAGCTGCATGACCCAGTGTTTAAAGGTGTAGAAGCTGTCGCCAACACAACAACCACACCCTAAGTTAACGAGCTGCATGACTAAGTGTTTAAGGTGTAAAAGCTGTCGCCAACACAAACCACACCCTAAGTTAACGAGCTGCATGACCCAGTGTTTAAGGTGTAAAGCTGTCGCCAACACAACGACCACACCCTAAGTTAACGAGCTGCATGACCCAGTGTTTAAGATGTAGAAGCTGTCGCCAACACAACAACCACACCTAAGTTAACGAGCTGCATGACCCAGTGTTTAAGGTGTAGAAGCTGTCGCCAACACAACAACCACACCCTGAGTTAACGAGCTGCATGACCCAGTGTTTAGGTGTAGAAGCTGTCGTCAACACAACAACCACACCCTAAGTTAACGAGCTGCATGACCCAGTGTTTAAGGTGTAGAAGCTGTCGCCAACACAACAACCACACCCTAAGTTAACGAGCTGCATGATTAAGTGTCAAGAATAGTCCGAGAAGACGGACAACTCGCCAACTGCACTGGCTAACCATTACCCCGACACGATCCGCAAACCGATTAACATCCAGGCCCCAAATTAGTCTGGTAGACAGAGGCAAATGGCGTAAAGAAACTTGCTACTTCACCATGCCAGGATCAATCCGGGTCCGCTCGCTTGAGAGGCGAGCATGCTGACCATTACACCATATACATAAATATACATTACATACATACATACATACATACATATACATACATACATACATCACCACCTACCGCTCCCTTCCTTCCCCCACTCCCCCCCTCTCCCCCCGCTCCTTCCTTCCCCACTCCACCCCCTCTCCCCTACAGTTTCCCTTCCTCCCTCCCCACCCCCCTCTCCCCCCTACGTTCCCTTCCTTCCCCCTCCACCCCCTCCCCCCTCATCAGCCATTGCAGACAAAAGACAATTCCTTCAAAATAGTTAAAATTAAATGTTTTACACATGAGGAAGTTGTCTTTAGGGAGCTGCTGAGGCGAGTAACTGGTTGAGGGCGTGTGTGTGTGTAGGAGGGAAGGAGTGGAGGGGGTGAAGGAGGGAAGGAGGGGTGTAGGGAGGGAAGGAGGTGTGGAGGAAGGAGGAGGGGTGAAGGAGGGTGTGAAGGAGGGTGAAGGAGAATGAGGGGTGTAGGAGGGATGGGGAGGGTGAAGGAGGAAGGGAAGGAGGGAGGAACGTTGGGAAAGATGGATAAGGAGGAAATACTATAGGAAGGATAGAGGCGGAGAGAACAGGGAGAGGAGGAGGAGGAGAACTTGTAGAGAGAGAGAGAGAGAGGGGTAAATAGAACTCTCTCTCTCTCTCTCTCTCTAGTAATTAATATCACAGAACTCGTTAAATCTTTCAGAATTTTTTAATTTTTTAAAGGTCTACCTCACCTTACTGTTGAAAGTTAGTATATTTTTTATGACTGTTTATTTAGCCGCTGTTAATTTGGTGGACAGGTGTGTTATTTATACAGACAGACAGGGAGACAGACAGACAGGGAGACAGACAGACAGGGAGACAGACAGACAGACAGACAGACAGACAGACAGACAGACATACACACAAATTTGTTACTTAGAGAAGAACATTAACTGATAAACCCACACCCCCCACACCAAGACCCCCACCAAGACACACCCCAACATCCACATCCCCTGCACCCACCCCCATCATCCACATCCCCTGCACCCACCCCCAACATCCACAACCTGCACCCACACCCCAACATCCACATCCCCTGCACCCCACACCCCCATCATCCACACCCCTGCACACCCCCCAACATCCACAACCCCTGCACACCACACCCCAACATCCACAACCCTGCTACACATCCCACACACACAACATCACAACCCCTGCACCCCACCCCAACATCCACAACCCCTGCCCACCCCCAACATCCACAACCCCTACCCCCAACATCCACAACCCCTGCACCCCCCAACATCCACAACCCCCTGCACACCCCAACATCCACAACCCCTGCACACCCACACCCCCAACATCCACATCCCTGCACACCCACACCCCCAACATCCACATCCCCTGCACACCCACACCCCCAACATCCACATCCCCTGCACACCCCACACATCCACATCCCCACACCCCCCCAACATCCACATCCCCTGCACACCTCCCCCTCCTACCCCCAATACTGGTGATGATGAGTAAAGGAAAGTTGTTTTGTATTCAAATGTAAGGAAACAAGGTCATATAAAGGAGAGAAAGTGGCAGGTGTGTGGCAGTGTGTGGCAGGTGTGTGTTGTGTGTAGCAGTGTGTGGAAGGTGTGTGTGGTAGTGTGTGTGGCAGTGTGTGTGTGTGTGTGGCAGGTGTGTGGTGTGTGTGGCAGGTGTGTAGTAGTGTACATTAGGTGTGTGACAGATGTGTGAGGTGTGTACAGGTGTGTAGCAGTGTGTGGCAGGTGTGTGTGTAGTGTGGTGGAGGTGTGTGTAGTGTGTGACAGTATGTACAGGTGTGTGGCAGTGTGTACAGGTGTGTGTGGAGTGTGTACAGGTGTGTGGCAGTGTGTACACGGTGTGGCAGTGTGTGACAGGTGGTGGCAGTGTGCCAGGCGTGTGGTAGTGTGCACAGGTGTGTGGTAGTGTGTACTGATGTGTCGGAGTATGTAGTGTGTAATCAATCAGTCCACCACCACGATTACTATCACCACCAAAACTACTACTAACACCACCACCTGTACATCAGCCGGCGTCCCTCAAGGGTTGGTGGGTCCTTCTCTGTAATAAGTCATCTTGATACACCAACACAGTAAACTAACTCACACCAACAAATATTAAAAAAACGAAACCAGAGAAAAACTTAATGAAAAATAATCAAAACAAAAGATAAATTAACATAAGATGGAGATAAATTAAATAGGAAAGAATAACAAGTGAAATAGAAAGAAGTAAACAAATAACAAACAAGTAATCAAACGAAAGAATAAACTCCAAACAACAAATCAAGACAACTTAGCAAGAATCACGAGGTAGTTTACATGATACGAACGACTCTCTCAACAGCCCAATTAGAGTGTGTTTCTTCCTCCCCGGGTTACCTGTATGTAAAGGTCTTGCCCTAACCCTCGACCCCTAACCACAACAACCACATGGGAGGGGAGAGGGCTGGGGGGGTGGGAGGGCTGGGGAGGTGGAAGGGGAGAGGGCTGGGGAGGGTGGGAGGAGAGGGGGCTGGGAGGGGAGGGAGAGGGCTGGGGAGGTGGGAGGGAGGGAGAACTGAAGGGAGGAGGAGGGACTGAAGGAGGGAAGGAACTGAAGGGAGGGTGGGGAGGGGGTTAAACCAGAAGCAACCAACCCAGATCAGTCAAGAAAGAAAAACAGCAACAATAACAACAACTTGTGGGCTCAGCTTAAGGCAACTCAAGACCGTCACTCCTATGTTCTTGCAATGGGAAACCGACCTTTGTGTGAGTGGGGGGTGTAGAAAAGGGGTGAGGGGGGGTGTGGTGTAGCTCTTTCTTACTTCCGGTGGTTAGGTAGCCTCTAAACCAACCGGTCACAGAGGTCACAGCTACGTTTGTTAACCTCCTAACAGGACATCATGAATTCTGTCTGTCTGTCTGTGTGTGTCTGTCTGTCTGTCTGATTCAACTGCGCCAGACGAACAACCGCCTGCTTTCTGCCTGCACTGGTGCTACTGATGCAGAGTGGGGATGTGTGTGTGAGGGTGGAAGGGGATGTGTGGGGGGTGTGGGGGATGAAGGATCAAGGCGGGTGTGGGGGTGAAGGGGAGGAGGGGGTGAGGAGGAGGGGGTGAGGGGAGGAGGGTGAGGATGAGGGGGGAGGAGGAGGGGGAGGAGGGGGGGAGGATAGAGGGGGTGAGGAGGGGATGATGGAGGTGAGGAGGGGGGATGATGGAGGGGGTGAAGAGGGGGGGGAGGATGCAGGGAGAGAGGATGGGGGGAGGTGAGGAGGAGGAGGATGGAGGAGGGGGTGAGGAGGGGGGAGGGGATGGAGGGGGGGAGGAGGGGGGGAGGAGGGGGATGATGGAGGGGGAAGGAGGGGATGATGGAGGGGGTGAAGAGGGAGGTGAGGAGGAGGAGGACCCTTTGGTAGTAGTTTCCGCCTCATTAATTAAACAGGATTTTGGGATATCCAGCTCTCTCTCTCTCTCTCTCTCTCTCTCTCTCTCTTCTTCTCTCTCTCAACAAACACGGACACAAATACTAGCTTCGGAGAGAGAGAGAGTACTCCAACAGATCACCACAACACAACACGTACCTGTAATAAAGAACACAAAGGTAAATATTACTCTCTATGACCACCCCAGAACCATTACACCCACGTGACGTCATCCGTTATGTTATGTAACGTAATCCTGCTTGACGGTGTGGTATGTGATGTGGTCTAATGTGATGTGGCATGATGTGGTCTAATGTGATGTTATGTTTTAAGTAAAGTGGTGTGATGTTATGTAGTCATTGTGATGTGTGTGTGTGTGTGTGTGTGTGTGTGTGTGTGTACTTACCAGGAACCAGGCGGGGGCGGAGGATACAACCTCTATCCTGGGTACTAGTGGTGACACGGATACTACTGTTGACACGGGTACTAGTGGTGACACAGGTACTAGTGGTGACACAGGTACTAGTGGTGACACGGAACATATGCTGGAGGTGAGGCCAGCCGCTAGTGCTGACTCCTCCTTCACCATTGTGGGAGATGGTGACGAGGATGGTGACGGTGGAGGACGAGGATGGTGACGAGGATAGTGACGAGGACGATGATGGTGAGTTCCAGAGCAAATCTTCACAGGGAACTTGGTGACATCTGATGAAAGTTCACATCACCATCACCATCCTATAGCCTTCCTTTAGTGATGGTGATGATGCCTGACGATGGTGAACTCGATGGTGATGACACGAGGCACCATTACACATCACTTCTTCCTCACCAAGTGTCTCACCATTCACTCAATTGGTTCTTAGTATTTGTTATTCAATCACCTCTACTTCCTCTTATCATCTACGTTACTTATCACCGTTTATCACATTTTCCTTAAGGTACAATTTAAGGAATTAGTCATAAACGCACATGGGGGCATTGGTAGATGAAAAACGTACACATGGTAACGATGATGCACATGGCAAAGACGCACAACACACACACACACACACACACACACACACACACTCCGAATATTTTTTAATATAATAATGGTTGCCCCTCGTGTAACGAGGATGGCCAGCCCAAGGGCCACCTGGGCGTGAATTTGTTTAGGTGTAGAAGCTGTTACCAACACAACAACCACACCCTAGGTTAACAGGCTGCATGACCCAGTGTTTAAGGTGTAGAAGCTGTTGCCAACACAACAACCACACCCACTGGTTAACGAGCTGCATGACGTGTTTAGGTGTAGAAGCTGTTACCAACACAACAACCACACTCTGAGTTAACGAGCTGCATGACCTAGTGTCAAGGAATAGTCCGAGATGACCGGACAACTCGCCAACTGCACTGGCTAACATCCAGGTTCCCAATTACTGCTGCTGGGTAGACAGAGGCAAATGGCGTAAAGAAACTTGCCCATAGTTTCACCTAGCCCGGGGATCGAACCCGGGTCCACTTGCTTGCGAGGCGAGCATGCTGACCATTACACCACAGGGCGCTAGTGTGTAGTGTAATATATACACAAACACATAAAATACACACATAACGTACACACACAATGACGCACACAATGACGTCATCAGAAAAATCTCCCGGCAACAGCAATCGACTTCCTAGGCATAGACAGACAGACAGACAGACAGACAGACAGACAGATATAAACAAAACCTCTGCCGAAATAATCATAATAAGTAGAAATAGGACAACACAACATGGTGCAGAGGATGCTAACCCACACGTGCATTACGGTCGAAAACGCGATTCAAAAAACACAGCCACATCACCTCTCACACAAAGTGGTTCAGAGACGGGCGAAGCATCGAACAACACACGATTAACAGCGCCAAAACCAAACTAAAAAAATAAACGTGTAAAAAAAATGTTCTATCCCCCCCCCAAGTTCACTCTCGCTCATCTCGACTCCCTAGTTCAGAGGTTCGTGAAGCACCGAGCACAGCCATTAGTGGGTTCGGATTGCTCAATTGAAGCTTCAAAGAGAAAAGGTGTATTGATTAAACAGTAAGAAAAGACTCGGGCAGGTTACAGCACGGCAACGACTATATATAGAAATATGCTCTCTCTCTCTCTCTCTCTCAACTAAAGCAGATGGGGATGAAGTAACATGAATCAAAGGCGGAATGTGTGAACGAAGCAGCGAGTTTACATATATACAAGAAGATAAAATATATACCACAATCACTGACAACCACAATCACTAACAACCACAATCACTAACAACCACAATCACTAACAACCACAATCACTAACATCCATAACCACCAACAACCACTAACAACCACAATTTCAACCACAAACAACATAATGAGCCAAAAATCTATATACCCCCCCCCCCTCAGTGTTCAGATTAACCAATGTGTTCGAATCGTCAAATCTATCTATTTGTTATCTGATTACTAAAGCTTTTGTTCCTTCAAATTTAAGTTTTATCTTCTAGGACAGACAGACAGACAGACAGATCTCAGGTAACCAAGAGATAATCTCGGGTTAGATCAACATCACGTGGAGACTGTGAGACATCTCTTAAGTCTCCAGTATCTCTCTCTTCTCCTCCTCTTGTCTCCCATCCCGACAGCGTCTCCACCACCAAGTCTCCTCTTCTAGATAATGTTTAAGGCTTCAGGTTTCGGTTTCGAATTCTACATCTGCTTCGACTTTGTCCGGTTTCAAATTCTAGATCGAGTTTGTGGTCGGTTTCGGGTTCAGGTTCGATTTTGTGTTCGGGTTCAGTTTCGTTCAGATTCGGGTTCGGATTCGGGTTCAGTTTTGGATTCGGGTTCGATTTTGGGTATTGAGCGGAAGTTGACGATGATGGAGGTGCCGTATCAGCGAACACCTGCGGAGAGTAATGGTCGAAGCCTCCCATCACCTCTCATCGTCCCACACACACACACACACACACACACACCACACACACACACACACACACACACACACACACACACACCACACACACACACACACAACAACAACACACACACACACAACACACACACACAACACACACACAACACACCAGAACACACACACACACACCACACACACACACACACACACACACACACACACACACACACACACACACACACACACACACACACACACACGAGCTATAAACTAAACGAAGCTAATATCGGTCAGGGTGATATAAGAGCATTCAGCCTCCACCATAGAGTGCCAGTAACGCCATTACGTTACCACCCAGTTGCCCTCCTTACAGCTGCTGCGGTGAGTCGAGAGATGAACCCCCAACACACCTGAACCCCCAACACACCTGAACCCCCAACACACCTGAACACCCAACACGTGAACCCCCAACACACCTGAACCCCCAACACACCTGAGCCCCAACACACCTGGAACCCCAACACACCTGAGCCCCCAACACACCTGAACCCCAACACACTCTGAACCTCCAACACGGAGCCCCCCAACACACCTGAACCCCCAACACACCTGAACCCCAACACACCTGAACCCCCAACACACCTGAGCCCCCAACACACCTGAACCCCCAAAACACCTGGAGCCCCCAACACACCTGAGCCCCCAACACACCTGAACCCCACACACACCTGAACCCCAACACATCTGGAACCCCAAACACGTGAGCCCCCAACACACACTGAACCCCCAACACACCTGAACCCCCAACACACCTGAACCCCAACACATCTGAACCCCCAACACACCTGGGAGCCCCAACACACCTGAACCCCAACACACCTGGAGCCCCCAACACACCTGGAGCCCCCAACACACCTGAACCCCAACACACCTGAACCCCCAACACATCTGAACCCCCAACACACCTGAGCCCCCCAACACACCTGAACCCCCAACACACCTGAACCCCAACACACCTGAACCCCCAACACATCTGAACCCCAACACACCTGAGCCCCCAACACACCTGAACCCCCAACACACCTGAGCCCCCAACACACCTGAGCCCCCAACACACCTGAACCCCCAACACACCTGAACCCCAACACATCTGAACCTCCAACACGGTGCCCCAACACACCTGAACCCCCAACACACCTGAACCCCCAACACACCTAACCCCCAACACATCTGAACCCCAACACACCTGAGCCCCAACACACCTGAACCCCAACACACCTGAACCTCAAACACCTGAACCCCAACACACCTGAACCCCAACACACCTGAACCCCAACACACCTGAACCCCCAACACACCTGAACCCCAACACACCTGAACCCCCAACACACCTGAACCCCAACACACTGAACCCCCCAACACACCTGAACCCCAACACACCTGAACCCCAACACACCTGAACCCCCAACACTAAAACCCAACCACATAAAAGTGTATATCAGGTTCTTATCGTGTAGTGCCCCCGTGTTGACCCAGAACCAGGGGTGACCTCCCCCTCACGGCCTCCGAGAAAGAGGTCACCAACAGGAGAGGTCAGATGGTCGATTAAATTACTGGCCATAACAGCTGAAAGAACTAGCTGCTCTGAGTTAACCATTGGTGGTGGTGGTGGTTGTGGTGGTTGTGGCTGTGGTGGGGTTGTGGGTGGTGGTGGTTGTGGTGGTAGTGGTGGTGGTGGTTATAGTCAATCAAATTTGTGGTAGAAGAGGGTGTTGGATGTGGCGATGGTGGTAGAACTGTGGAATGGAGGGAAAGGGAAGGGGGGAGAGGGAGGGAGAGGGAGGGGAGGGAGAGGGAGAGGAGGGTTGAGGTAAACAGGGCCAGACAAGAGTCAACACACCTGTACTGCCACAATCACTCTAGGTGACCTTCCCTCACCCCTACTCCCTCACCCCTCCCCATTCTCCTCCTCCCTCCATTTCCCTCCCTCACCCCTCCCCATTCTCCCCTCCCTTTCCTCCCTCGCCCCTCTCCCTCCCTCCCTCTCCCATTCTCCCTCCCTTTCCTCCCCTCACCCCTCCCCCTCCCTTTCCTCCCCTCACCCCTCTCCCTCCCTCCTCCCCCATCTCCCTCCTGACCCTTCAATGCTTTGTCAACACACACGGAAGCAAGACACAAGACAAACGTGATAAATTAAAGGACGAAGAACAACAACAACAAGACAAAGAACAAGAACAAGAACAAGAACAAGAAGAACAAAAACAAGAAGAAGAAGAAGAAGCAGAAGAAGAAGAAGAAGAAGATGAAGAAGAAGAAGAAGATGAAGGAAAAATAAGAACAAGAAGAACAAAACAAGAAGAAGAAGAAGAAGAAGAAGAAGAAGAAGAAGAAAAAGAAACAAGAACAACAAAAAGAATAAGAATAAGAATAAGAAGAAGAAGAAGAAGAAGAAGAAGAAGAAGAAGAAGAAGATGGAAGAAAAAATAAGAACAAGAACAAGAAGAACAAAAACAAGAAGAAAAAAAAAGAACAAGAACAAGTAGAACAAAAAGAAGAAGAAGAAGAAGAAGAAGAAGAAGCAGAAGAAGATGGAAGAAAAAAATAAGAACAAGAAGAACAAAAACAACAAGACGAAGAACAACAAGAAGAACAAGAAGAACAACACCCCATCAAAGTGCCCGCAACACACCTTGTTAAACCACGGAATAAAAACGTCAACTCCGGCAAAGAAAACATATTCACCCGCCAAGTTAA